GTATAGTTTTTAGTCATAAAGGTAAAATAGAAAATTGGTTTTCATCTACTCGAGCAGAGTTAGCAGCATGTTTAATATAATTTGGAGTTCGTGTAGGAGGAGGTAGTGGATGTGTATATAATCCTTTATATATAAGAATTACAAATAGATATGTTTTAAGATTTAGTAGTATAATTTTGTAAAATTTAACTTTACATAGTTTTTTTTTAATTTGACCATGACATATTTTATTTCCTGATCGATAAAGATAAGCTAATAATAAAATACAAAATATTAAAAAATTTTAATTTTAAATTTTTTAATATTTTTATAATTCTTATAGTAGTATTTTTTTTTTTAAAGAATTAGATAATATGATATAATATTTATTTATTGATTTATTATTAATATGATTAGGCAATATATAAATAATTAAATTAAAAATTAATTAATTTATTAATTAATTAATTTGATATTATTAATTATTAAATATTATTACCTTATAAGTACTATTAAATAAACTGTACAAAAGCTTAATATTAATATCAGATGAAATACACATAAAATGATGATACTTTTCACTAATTTTCTAATTAGTATATCTAATAAAATAGATAAATTCAAAATGATTCTAATGTAATAAACAATGTAAACCAAGTTTGCTTTCATATAATTCTTTATTTTTCTGAAACTTACAAGATGTTTCATTAGCAACAAGATAAAGTCTAAAATAAATTTTAATTATTATTATATATAATATATATACTATATTATTAGACTTTTTTAATTTTTATTACTTATTCAAACATATTGTCATCAATATTGTCTGATGAAATTTCTTGAGTTATTCATGTTATAAAATCAGAATTAATATTGACATATTGATGTATTTGATTATATAATTCTTGTGTAGTGAATTCACAAAGTTTTGATCCTTAACAGATTTGAATTTCATGTTTTACTTCAACTTCAAGATAAGAATATACATAACTTTATATTCACCATCAGGTTTGTCAATTAAGTATTGAATCTAAAATAAAAATTTATATAATATATTAAGTAATTATATAAACAATTAAATAAAATTATTACAAATTATTTACTAACATCTTTAAATGCATCCAATAGTTCTTTCCAACCTTCAACGTTATATACATAAGCAATACCTTCTAAACTTGTTTCAGGATATTCAATAGGCGTTAAGGTATGATAAACAGCACTTGATGCCAGTTCCTTAGTAAAGTATGTTACTGTATTTTCATTTAGATCGTCAATATCTTGAAGTTCACTATCAGAAGTTAAATTCTTTATAATTTTTCGAATTATTTAATTAATATATAATAATAATAATAATAATAATAATAATAAAGACAAAGATGAATATATTTACACTTTTATTTTCGAATGCCTCCAAATCTTCTTCGTAAATAGTCTCAACTCCATCAATAATATGAAAGTCAGGATCATTAATAGCATGAAAGTCAGGATCGTTAATAGTATAAAAGTCAGGATCGTTAATAGCATAAAGGTCAGGATCGTTAATAGCATAAAGGTCAGGATCGTTAATAGCAGGATCGTCGATAATATGAAAATCAGGATCATCGGTAGTATACATTTCGAAAAATTGAGTGCGAGTCAGAAGTCAAAAGTAAAATTCAAATTATACATTTGTTTCTTTAGTTATTTAAAAACTACTAAAGTATCTTACGTACGTTACATTATTAAAGCTTTGATATCGTATGATTATTAGCTTTACTAAAAATATTTCGGCATTATTAAACTGCAAAAATATTATATGTTAATATTAATGCCGAAATATACTTATGCAATATCTTTACTTCATTCATCATAGTTAATCATCTAACATACTGTAATGTAGCACACATACGTACAAGTATAACCCTCTTTATACACATAAGTATGATACTCTTTTATACATTTAAGTATGATAAGTCTGATTATTAAATATACGTATGAGTATAAAAACCTAAAGTTATCCTACGCTACTACTTTTATTTTCCATACTATACTACTTTATATATAACTCGGATGTTAAATAACTTCAATTATTTTTTGGTGATACGTAATAAGTTTTTTAGCATAAATTTAGATATATCCTAATTTATTATCTTAAAGATCAACTTCAGGTAAATTATTAGGTTACGTTGAAATAATCGGCTGGAATGGCTTGGCATAAATAGCCATGCATATATCATGGCTTGAGTTAGCCAAGCCGTTTAAGTCATGGCTTAGTTTTCTGAGCCCTGCTAACTATGGCTTAAGCTATTGTGACTTAAATCGGTTACGTCTGAAGCCGGCTTCAAAATCATGGCTAAAGTTTATCAGCTTGGTTCAGGCTATGGCTGAATACTTGGGTTTATTCACTTAGTTGGCTATACTCTTTGATGTATCGTTCAGGTGTCACATTTTCTAGTCCACTCAAAGCGCGAAACAAAAAGGATCGTTGCCTTATATAATATTAAATTTTTACAGGGCAATCTCTAATTACGTCATTTGATAATGTTCCTTACTCACGAACTACAGGGGTACCAAAATCACCGTGACAATTACTAAAATATTTAACGCTATGGACACTTGTCCAAAAAAGCTTTGGACATGCCAAAACGTACAACACCGAGGATTTCTTTTTAATCTCATCGGAAACGGTACTTTTGCCCGGACGGCCGGCTCTGATTTACATTTTTCGTTATCTACCAAGTAATTAACTTTGTATGGCCTAGTAATTTAATTATATAAATTTTTGATTTATATTTATAAATAATAATTTATATTACTATTATTTAAAAATAGTAAATTAAAACGCGATTTAAAAATAAAAAGCATAAGCAATAAAATTATTTATTTCTTCATCACGCTATAGAAGCCAGGACATGTTTTCTGTAATTCCAATACTTTTGGCGAATGGTGTCATGCTGTTCTGCCAAAAGAGTACAAGTCTAGTGTTATATTTACAATAAATGAAAAATAATAAAGATTGGAAAGATATCAAGTAAATTAATATGCTCTAATATTTTTTGTCATAATCTAATAAATGTCCTATAAAAATACCTGAATCCCTAATTCTTTTTCACTGATTGAACCACATTTAGCACGACTTTCATAAATGTCAACGAGACATCCAAGTGCATGTGGCGATATAATGCCTTGCTGATAAAGTGATTTACAAAGTTCTTCCAATATATCAATTTTTAGTATAGACTTTGCGATAATTCTATGAAAGTTTACAAAATATTAATATGTTAAAAATTAAAGCTCATAGAAATTCATGTTACTTTTACCCCTTAATATAATTCCACGGACTTATATTATTAGGAGCTAACTTAATTTTGGATATACCGTATCTAAATAGCAATTTACTATTAATAAATATACAGAAATTAATCCATAAATAAAATGTTTATACTCACTGAACCTCATGTTCCAGAAATTCTTCGGTAGGTTTCGTAGGATTATAAAATATTGCAAAATATCTCTGGTTCCACGCAGAATTATTTCGTACATCCTTTTCTAATAATTTTTTAACAAAAGATAATTCGTTATCCCAAAGATTAAAAGTTCTGATGACCCATTGCCTATATCGAGATAGTTAAAATAATTAAAATCATAATAAAAAATAAAATAAAATAAATAAAATAAAATATAATGAACCTATAAGTCCACGCATGATAATTTTTTGAATCATCATTCAAGACCTCTTCGGTGAATGACAGCTCGAGAGAGAAGTCCTTAAGCTTCTCAACAATTACTTGTCGATGATGCCTAATTTTTTTAAAATATATTACTAACTTTATTTCTATATGTTTTAAGTAATCTTAGTCATCCTTACCAAAGTTGATAGTTCTTTGGATTTTGATCAACTTGCTTCTGAATAAAATCTAATTCTTCATATAAATCTTTATTCAAAGAAAATAAAACTTGCTGGCGGTAATGCCTTTTGTTTTAAAATAGAACTAGAATTATGTTTCAAATTCAAACCTTAACAAGAAATAAAGGAAGTGAACTTACCAAATAGTGTAATGAGCAGGATTATGTTCAATTATCTTTTCTGTGAGAGTTAAGGCTCTTTCGCTTTGTTCATTCTTTTGGGCAAGTGCGCGAAAATAGCCCATAGCTTTAGAATCTATTTTCCGAATAAATAGAATTTAGTTTTTTTTTTCATTTGCAGCTATTATTAGAGTGCAAATTAGATCTACGTGACAGAAATTTACATTCTGGATCATATGCTATTTGGGCGAGGGGCTCAGGCCCGTCGTCTTGCTCGATTGGAACAATATCACTCCAGTCATAGGTTTCAAAAGACATCGCACGATTTTACGGCTAATATGAAGAAAAAATGACTTGACTTTATGAAGCTAACACAATAAAACTTTTAGTATTGTACTTAATACGCGCGTTAGGTTCAACAAAGTTATATCACACGATACCGCAACTCCATGTACTAGTATAGGGCACCGAAAATCGGTGATAGCATAATATGCGTATAAACCTAATTTTTATCGCGATAGCATATTTTATATGCCAGAGCAGAATTCGCATAAACACAATAACATTGTAATAATAACGATATTATTCTACGTATACAGTACAACTAAAAAAAATCCATTATTAAAATAACAACAGATAATTCTATTGATAATTTTTAAAGATCACATTCCGATGTATAAAATGTTCCAAATTACTACGCTACTAGTCTCAAGATCAGATCATATCAGCGGATCAGCGTAATCATCGAGAATTATTGAAATTTGTTCAAAGCGAATTTTTATAAAAACGACCATTTTAATTAACTTTGTATTTATAATTAAATATGTAAAAAATTACGATATTTATGTATTTAATTATAGGCCAAAGGTAAGTTAAAAGGCCATTTTTTTGAAAAATTGCTTCCGATTTCACTCTTGACAATTACAAACCCATTTCTTCAATCCTAAAATACCAGAGTATTTTAACAAACGGTAAAAGTACTTCTTTCTACAGCTTAGCATAGCTATTTTATTGATTTTTA